AAAAAATATCACTAAGGTTATTTCAAAGAGCAAAGTGTTTCCTCTTATTTCAGCAAGAGTCGTCGAGGTAAGTACCCCTCCATTCCAACAATTACATGCAAAACAGCTCTTCCTCCTGCAAGTGAAAGAGGAAAGCAGCCGCCTGCACAAGGATCACACTTTTCAGAATTCACCAGTGTCCAGAAGGGGACCCTGCAGCAGAGCGTCACTCCTGACTGGCAGCAGAGCATCACTCCTGACAGCAGTCACCTCACTTACCCAACCTGTAATTAAGGGTGAGCTCTTCTCAAGCTCAGCCAGAGCAGAGACCCACGAGGCTGCCACTCCCCGTCCTGTAACTTCTAGACACACAAACCTGATTCCCAAATACACTGCAAAGTAGGGCTTGGTATGCAACACACCCAAGGTAGCCACTCCTGCACCTTTGATCTCTAGGACTCAAAGTTTCTCATTAAAATTCTATATTAAAAAAAAAAGATCAATAGCTCTTTGTGACTGCTAACTTGCTTAACAGATGATGTCTGATCACTTGCCAGGCAAATTACAGTAACTGCGTGTTCTCACCCACAGATGCAGGCGACAATGCATCCCAAGTAAACAGCATTCACTACTTTGCACAATAACTACTGTGACCCAGCCTCCCAGCACAATGGTACAGTGATTGTGGCAATGACAGCAAGATCCTGACTAAGAACACAATTAGCATCTATTGCAAGAAAGAATGCTCTACATTGTCCTTTGGCATGGAGGCTTTTAAGAAGAGGGAGGAGAATTATCGTGGGGCAAGCTAACAAAACAACAACATTAGACTAGTACCCGAGGCTGTGGCGGAGGAGGAGAGGGGAAAGGACAGGAAGCCATCACATCCTACTTATTCTTCACTATGTAGCTGAAGAATTGTAGGAATTGTAACAGGAAGCATTTTTATTTTTTTGCTAATACTTTGTGAGTAAAATTCTACTCCCCAACGTAGGGCTTGAACTCACAACTCCAAGATCAAGAGTCACATGCTCTACCAACTGAGCCAGCCAGGTGCCCCAGAAAGCATTTCTATAGCGAATAAAACAAAACAACCTTCTGAAGGGCAATTTTATCTTTTTCAGTCAATTAATTTAATGGACTTTTCATATGAGGATGTTTTTTGAGAGGCTCAGGGATGATTGAAATGACCCTAAAAAAGGAGTAAGATGGCATTGCTAAAGAAGAAAATGGGAAACAAAGTTCTGAACAACAGTTATGTTTCCTTACACTCTACTGCAAAGTACTACAAGTAGAGGGCTTCTCAAACTTGGGATGAGGCTTGGGACTATGTATCTGCTTGTTCTATTCCAAGCCCTAGATATAACGGAGCTGGGCCCAAACATCAGGACATGCTGAAGGTTTTCCTTCCTAAATACC